GGGGGGGAAACAATAACAGAAAATGTGGAAATGACCGAGGTGCTTAATGACTTCTCTGTCCCGGTGGCGAGCGGCCGGCTAACGTAGTGAATGCCTGCGAAAACGAGGTAGGATCAGAGGCTAAAATAGGGAAAGAACAAGTTAACAATAGCTTAGACACGTCACATGTCTTCACGCCACCAGGGCCTGATGAAATGCATCCTCGAATCCTCACAGAGCTGCCTGAGGAGATGGCTGAGCCATTGGCCAGGAGCCTTGAGAAGTCCTGGGAGACGGGAGAGATTCCAGAAGACTGGAAAAGGGCAAATCTAGTGCCCAGCTCTAAAAAGGGGAATAAGGACAACCCGAGAATTACAGACCAGTCAGCTTCACTGTACCAGAAAAGATAATGGAGCAAATAATTAAGCAATTGCTTTGCAAACATCTAGAAGATAATGAGGTGATAAGTAACAGTCGCATGGATTTGTCAGGAACAAATCATGTCAAACCAATCTGATGGCTTTGACAGCGTAACAAGCCGTGTGGACAGGGGGAAGCGGTAGACGTGGTATAGACTTTAGTAAAGCTGTTGATACTGTCTCGTATGACCTTCTCCTAAACAAACTAGGGAAAAGCAACCTCGATGGAACTACTATAAGGTGGGTGACAAACTGGTTGGAAAACCGTTGCCAGAGGGTAGTTACCAGGGGTTCACAGTCAGGCTGGAAGGACATAACGAGTGGGGTCCCGCAGGGATCGGTTCTGGGTCCGGTTCTGTTCAATATCTTCATCCATGATTTGGATAATGGCGTAGAGAGTACACTGATAAAGTCTGCGGATGATACCAAGCTGGGAGGGGTCGCGAGGGCTTTGGAGGACAGGATTAAAATTCAAAATGATCTGGACAAACTGGAGAAATGGTCTGAAGTAAATAGGATGAAATTCAATAAGGACAAACGCAAAGTGCCCCACTTCGGAAGGAACAATCAGTCGCACACACACACAATGGGCAATGACTGCCTAGGAAGGAGTCCTGCAGGACGGGGTCTGGGGGTCATAGTGGATCACAAGCTAAATATGGGTCAACAGTGTGACGCTGGTGCAAAAAAAGCGAACATCCTTCTGGGCTGTATTAGCAGGAGTGTTGTGAGCAAGACACGAGAAGTCATTCTCCCGCTCTGCTCCGCGCTGATACGGTCTCAGCTGGAGGATTGTGTCCAGTTCTGGGCACCACATTTGAGGAAAGATGTGGACAACTTGGAGAAAGTCCAGAGACGAGCAACAAGAATGATTAAAGGTCTATAACCTATAGAGGGAAGATTGAAAAAACGGGGTGTGTTTAGTCTGGAGAAGAGAAGCCTGAGAGGGGACATGAGAACAGTTGTCAACTACATAAAAGGTCGTTACAAGGAGGATGGAGATAAATTGTTTTTCTTAATGTCTGAGGATCAGACAAGAAGCAATGGGTTTAAATTGCAGCAAGGGAGGTTTAGGTTGGACATTAGGAAAAAGTTCCTAACTGTCAGGGTGGTTAAACACTGGAATAAACTGCCCAGGGAGGATGTGGAATCTCCAACATTGGGGATTTTGAAGAGCAGGTTGGACAAACCCCTGTCAGGGATGGTCTAAATAATATTTAGTCCTGCCATGAGTGCAGGGGACTGGACTAGACGACCTCTCGAGGTTCCTTCCAGTCCTATGAGTCTACAATGCAGCTGCCTCTGGGGCAGGGCGGTTAGGAACAGCCGCACATAACTCTGCGCGGGCACAGCTCCCTCAAACTGCGGGTCCCCAACCTGGGGTTCAGCCCGGACACCTGGGTTCACACCCTGGCTGTCGGAGGTCAGAGCTGGAGTGGGGCTTGGGTTCACCCCACCTCCTATCAGCTGGGCAGTGCTCCCCACAAAGCCCTCCCTTCTGTCCAGCTGCCACATTTTCCTGCCCCTCCTTCACGGTTTTGACACCCTGGGGTTTGGCCTGGGTGCCTGGGTTCACTCTTTCAATCTCTCCCCCACTTCCGTCCGTTTTTAATGCACTCTCCCTGGTTTTCTTCCTCCTGCTCTTCCCTTCTCTGTTCATTCCTTTTGGATTTCTTTGTTGCTTTTCTCCTTCACTCTTCCTTTCCCCGCTGGTTTGTTCTTTCTTTCGTGGTTTTGTTCGCTCTCTCGTTTCTTGTTTCATTCATTTGTTCCTCCTTTGCTCTTTGATTCGTTCATTTCTTTGTTCTTTCTATTCGTCCGTCGGTTGTCTCATTCCTTCCTTCCTTCCTTTTTTCTTTCATTCATTTCTTCCCTCTTTCCATTCGTTCATCGGGTCTCTCTTTCGTTGCTTCGGTCATTTCTTCCCTTTCCATTTGTCCCTCTGTTCTCTTCATTCACGTTTTCACTCACTTCTCTCTCTGCTCTTTCCAGTCATCCGTCGGTTTTCTCATCCATTTCTTCGTTCGTTTCTTTGTTCTTTCCATTTCTCCCTCGCTTTTCCTATTTGTTCCTTCGTTCATTTATTCCTTCTTTCTGTTCGTCCCTCTTTTCTCTCCTTCGTTCCTGTTTTCATTTGTTTATTTCTTTGCTCTGGTCACTCATCCATTAGCGTTAGTATTCGTTCCTGAGTTCATTCATTTCTCTCATCCTTCCATTTGGCCAGTTTCTCGTTTTTTTGTTTATTTCTTGGTTCGTTTTTCCCCCTCTTTCCAGTCTTCTGGCTTTTTGTCATTCTTCGTTCTTTCCGTTCGTCCCTCGGTCCTCCCGTTCGTTTCTTTGCTCGCTCGCATCTTCGCTCTTCCCTCCTGCCCCTGTGTTTTCTCCTGCATTCCTTCCTTCACGTTTTCATTCGTTCAGGTGGGGGACCCTGGGCTCTACCAGCTGGTGTGGGAGGTCCCTGGGTCTGTCTCCCACCCCACCCTGATGTGGGGCTGGGAGGGCACCGGGCCAAGCGCTGACCCTACTACTGCCCCTCACCCCTGGAGGTAGGTGGCGGGGCTGGGAGCAGGAGCGGGGGGGGCTGGGGTGAGGGGGCGGGGTTGGGCCCCGGGGGTGGGGCTCGCGTGGTGCGGGGGGCAGGGAGAAGGTGAGGGCCCCAGGGCAAAGGGCATGGGTGGGACTAGGGGAGGGGCTGGAAGTGGCCACAGGGCAGGGCTAGGTGATAGGTCGGGGGGGGGGGCAGGGGTGGAGCTAAAGCTGTGGGCGAGGCTGTAAGTCACATTGGGGCGGGGCAAGGGTTGTGGGTTGGTCTAGGGGAGGGTCAGGGCTGGGGCAAGGCAGAGGGGAAGGACAAGGGGAGGGGCTGGAAGGGAGAATGGGTGGGGCCCTGGGCTGGGGCAGGGCCAGGAGCTTGTGAGTGGAGGGTGGGGGGCCTCTGGGAAGCTGGCTGACTCAGGGGGTCGGGGAATGGGCCCTGGGGCCTTTCCCCTCTAGGGGGCGCCGGCTCCCATCTGACCCTGGCGCAGGAGAGAGACCAGGGAGGGGACCTCCGGCCTTCAGGACTCAGCTGGGGCGGGGTCCTGGCCCCTGCGATCCTTTGGGGGGGGCAGGAGAAAATAACACAGCAGGGGGAGAGATTTAACCCCAAACCCCCATTGGTCGAAGGACGATGGTTATTCATGCAGCCCCACCCCCTTCGCTGAAGCCCCACCCCATCCAGTAGGCAGAGCCCCCCCAGATGAGTTGTACTGGGGGGGGGGAGTTGGGGTGCTGTCAGACCTATGGCCCTTAAATGAATTCTCTGGGGCAGATGAGGTGTCTCTGCTCTCCTGCCCCAAGAGAATATGGGGGGGGGCTGCCCCCAGGGAGAAATCGGGCAGGGGGGGTTGGAGGGAGAACCCCTCATCACAGGGTATCGGGGTAGGGGAGCAGGACAGCGGTCACATCAACCCCAGATGCCTAGACAGGGAGCTAAGCCAGGCCGAAGCCCCTGCCCCCCAGTAGAACCCAGGAGTCCTGGCTCCCAGCCCCCCTGCTCTAACCCACCAGCCCCCACTCCTCTCCCAGAGCCGGGAGAGAACCCAGGAGTCCTGGCTCCCAACCCTCTGCCCTAACCACCAGCCCCCACTCCCCTCCCAGAGCTGGGGAGAGAACCCAGGAGTCCTGGCTCCCAACCCTCTGCCCTAACCACCAGCCCCCACTCCCCTCCCAGAGCTGGGGAGAGAACCCAG